GCCAATGAAGGAATTTGTTTTACTTGACCATTCATATTTGTTACAAGGAATTTGTTTTTCTTTTTGTCCAACAGGATGGGAGAGAAAATAGATCTTTGTTCATTAAAAAAAAATTAACTAATTTTTAAAAAAGCAAGAAAGCTTCATGAGGATGAGGCCTGTTTAATTTTTGTCTTTGTATCCTTGGCACCTAGAATAAAACCTGGAACAGAGGAGGCCCTTAACCAACACTCATGAAAGGTTTTGTGATAGAAAAGAACTGGAAACCAATATTTATTCAATAGGGATATGGCTAAACAAGTTGTGGCATGTGAATGTAATAGGATATCACCGTATGCTTTAAGGAAGAATGACTATGATGAATACAGAGAAGCATGGAAAGATTTATATGAACTGATGAAAAGGGAAGTAACCAAAGCCAGGAAAACAAGTAGACAGTGGGGGACAAGTAGACCACAACAATGTAAACTAAAAGAACCACAACAAAACAAACAAAACTGAGTGCTATGGAATTGTGATGACCAAACTTGGCCACAAAGAAAAGATACAAGAAGGCACCTTACATCCTTCTTTGCAGAAGTGGGGGCCTATGGATGTGGAACACTGCATACAATGTCAGCCATAGCAGACACATTCATCAGTTTTGCTGAACCGTTTTTTTTTCCTTCCTTTTTTTTGTGATAAGGGATGGGTCTGTGGGTGGGGAAATGGAAATAATTGAGCAATGCAGGTGATGCCAAAATACGTCAATTAAAATGTTTAAAGATGGAAAAAACGCTTGAATTGAATTTATCTTACTGCCTCTTTTAGAAGTCTAGTAACTCTGGGGAAAAGGAAATGGAGTCATTTTAACAGGGCCTACTCTTGAAAAAGTCCTGCTGGCCCTGAATGATCACTGCTTCCTTTTCTGACGTTCACTAACCATCCCTTTGTTCTAGAATGTTGCCAGGAATCACATAATAACATTGTAGAATTTGAGAGTTGGAATGGATCTCAGAGGCCACTCAGTCCTAATCAAGTGCAAGCTCTCTGACCTCTCAAGTTTGTAGATTTCATTTTCTTCTCTCCACAACATGGATCAGTAAGTCAACAAGCATTCATGAAGTGCCTACTATGTACCAGGCACTGGGCTACACATTTGCTCTCCTCCAACACTATAGCACCTCTCCTCTTCCCTTTGCTCTTTTAAGGATTGCTGAAACTGGACTGAGTGATTACATTGGTCAATTGTCCCAGTACCTTAGGACAAAGTCTTTCTAGGCCTAATGATTTGAACCCATTGATGGTATCTAAGTTCTTTATTACTATTTCCCTAATTATCAAGGGCAGCTAGGTGGCGCCACAGTGCATACAGCGCTGGGCCTGGAGTCAGGAAGACTCATCTTTCTGAGTTCACTTACTAGCTGTGTAACCCTGGACAAGTCACCTAACCCTGTTTGCCTCAGTTTCCTCATCTGTCAAATGGGCTGGAGAAGGAAATGGCCAACCACTGCAGTATCTCTGCCAAGAAAACCCCAAAAGAGGCATGAAGAGTTTGACACAACTGATAATTGACTGAACGACACTTGTCACATATATTAATTCCTCATAAGTTACTGTCTCCTGTCATTTCCCCTCCAGCTTCATTTTCCTCAGCAGAAAAACCAGTGAGCAACTCTGCTGTCCCCCTCTCGTTGTGGGTCATCTCCCATCCACCCTGACCAGAGCAAACCTGAGTTTTAGAAAGATGACTCTGAGTACATAGTTGAGATTCATACTTTCAGCTACAATCTCCTCTTCATCTTCTTAAATGTTTATTGAGATCAGAATTTTTTTTTTTAAGGCAAGTGGGGTTAAGTGACTTGCCCGGGGTCACACAGCTAGTAAGTGTCAAGTGTTTGGTCTGAGGCCAGATTTGAACTCAGATCCTCCTGACTTCAGGGCCGAGGCTCTATCCACTGTGCCACCTAGCTGCCCCCCAAGATCAGAATTTTTTTTTTGGTGAGACAATTGGGGTTAAGTGACTTGCCCAAGGTCACACAGCTAGTACATGTCAAGTGTTTGGTCTGAGGCCGGATTTGAACTCAGGTCCTCCTGATTCCAAGGCCGGAGCTCTATCCACTGCGCCACCTAGCTGCCCCAAGATCAGAATTTTTTAAGGAAAGTTATTGTGTTGGTTGTCTGAAAGATGAAATTGGAGAGGGGAGACCAAGAAGACCAGTTAGGAAGTTAGTAAATGAAGGAATTTATGTATGGAGGAGGGATAGTGGCTGTGGGAGTGGAGAGGAAGGGAGAGAGATGAAAGCCATCATGGAAAGAGATTTGATGAGGTTTAGCAAATGATTGGATGTGAGGGCAAATGAGAGGCAATGGTCAGGGGAACCTCTGATCCTTCCAGCCCCGGTGGCCGTATACAGTAGGCAACAACCAACAACAACAGCCGCAACAACGAGAGTAGCCAAATGTTTGCTGGATTGAATATGTTCAGTGCAACTAATGATGTCTTCTCTACCAGGAGACGGGCATTGACAGGAAGGTCAAAGAAGGCCATGGCATGGAAACGCCAAGTCCCTCATCTCAAAGCAGTGGGTTTTTTTTAAGACGTAGGTGCTATCATTATCAATGGCTCCCCTCTGTCCTGGAATCTGAGGCCCTCAACCACCCGCCTGCAAACAAGCTCCCTTCTTCGCAGAGGTGGAAGATCGCGGATGCCCAACACGGCACACACCGTCAGACTCAGCTGACGTGTCTCGGTTAGTGTTGCTAAACTTTCTGTCTTTTTTTTTATTCTTTGTTACAAGGGGCAGGGGCTGCAGGGGAATCTATTTTAAAAAAATTAAGACAATACCACCCCATCCCTTGGCAGAGGTGGGAGTTCCACAAGGTCATAAATTATACATATTTTCAGACATTTTAATGTATTGATGAGTTACAATGATTTTTTTTCTCTTTTTTCTTATTTTTTTTTCTTTAAACATACTATTTGTTATATTAGATGACCTCTGGAAGGAGAAAGGGAAGAATACTAGGGAAAATTAGGAGATGTCTAAAAAGACAAAAACATTTTTAAAAGTTAAGGTAATATAAAAATAAAAGATATTAATAACAATTCAAAATTTTAAAAAACAACACCCTGGGCTCCAACTTGCCTTCCCAGGTTTATCTAAGACATCTCTTTGTTATATACTCCAAAGTCCAGCCAATTTAGATTATTCACTGACCCAACCCCATTTCACCCTGCCCTCTCTGTTCGCACTCTCCCTCAGTCTTAGCCTAGACTACCCATCAGAGTCTGGACCTCGTATAGGATCCCTCCTTGCCCTTCGAGACCCAGCTGAGACAATCCCCTTTCCAACATACCCAACAAGGCATTGTCCAGCACCTCCAGTGGGGGGGACCCACTGCATTCCCAGACATCCATTACACTTAAGGACAACTCAATTCTTAGGAAGCTTTTCCTTCCATGGAGCCTCCATCTGCCCCTTGGTAACTTCTCCCCACTGTTTCTGGGTCTTCCGGCACAGGCCAGGTGGCGCTGAATCTCTCTCCCACATGACCGTCCTTCGAATACTGAAGGACAGATACCGTGGCCCCTCTAAGCTTTCTCTCTTCCAAGCTAACTACATCCATTTTATTTAAACTGACCCTCGCATGGCACGAACTGAAGGCCCTTCCTCAGACTATTAATGTCCTTCCTAAACTGTTGTGCCCAGGATGGAACACAACAGTCCTGAAGATGTCTGACTAGGGCAGAGGACAAGAAGACCACGGCCTCCCTCGATCTCTCTTAAATCGACTCTCTTGGCTGGCCCATTTGGACCAGGCTTCAATGAGCTGTGACTCCCTCCCACTGTGCTGCATCCCTTCTCATCGATGAGCTCCACAGCTAGGCCTGGGCCGGAGCTGTAAAGGAGACAAGAAGTTGCCTGGACAGTGGCCTTGGCTTGTTGGGAAAAGGGGAGAACTAGGACCTTCTTGTGGCTCCTTTGAGAGACTGGCTTAGCATCGAGTTGAATTGATGACAATATAGCCCAGGCAGGGGATCTGAGTTCAAATCCTGGCTCCAGCTACATGACCTTAGGCTCCACACACACTCTAGAAATGCAGCCTTTCATACCTGATTTGTACAAATATAGCAAATTCCTTACGGGCAGCTAGGTGGTACAGTGCATCGAGTGCTGGGCTTGAAGTCAGGAACACCTGGGTTCAAAATCCAGCCCAGACACTTACTAGCTGTGTGTGACCCTGGGCAAGTCACTTCACCCTGTTTGCCTCAGTTTCCTCATCTGTAAAATGAGCTGGAGAAGGAAATGGCAAACCACTCCAGTATCTTTGCCAAGAAAACCCCAAATGGGGTCACGAAGAGTCAGACACGACTGAAAAATGACTCAACAACAACAAATGGGTAGGTTTGACTAGATGACCTTGATGATACCCTGCCCCGGGAGCAGGAGGGAGGACCAGCCAAGGAGACTGCAGACATTCACAGGCTTTCAAGGCATTTCAGAGATCCTCTCCAGGTAACAAACAAAGGAGGGCGATGAGGACTGGCATCCTTACGGCCAGCCTTCCTCCACTTAGGAGAGCCCCCAGCTTCTGTCTTCTCAGCCCGTCCTGCCTGGGACAAGAGTGGCCAAGGAAAAGAAGAAGCTGCAGGGGCCCCAGCAATGAACAACCTGGTCTCCTAGCGCGGAGGTCCCAACCTGGAGTCTATGGCCCCCCTCTCCCCCTCCCCTCTGTGCCCTCCCTCCCAGGCATCTGTGGATTTCAGGAACTTGGATGAAAAAAAAATAACCTCTTTATTTTCATTAACTTGTAAGTGAAATTCAGCATCTCCTTCGATTATTTAGAATCGTTATCCTGAGAAGGGGCTCACAGGTGTCCCCAGACAGCCCAGGGGCCGGGACGAAACAAAGGGTAAGGACTCCTGTATCAGCTCCCTTCCAGAAGGCCTTTGCCTGGTATGTACTTCTCCCCCAATCACACATACCTCCTCATCTATGAATGCAACTTCAACTCACCGGGTAATGTTCTTCTTTGGGGGAGCTTTGATGAGTATGTTAGGATTGTAGGTGCCTGGCCCGGGGACAACAGATGTTATCTTCATTTCTCGGAGGGTTCTTGACTTGAAACCACACCCGACAAGCTTAGGGGCCTCCTTCACCAGGGTCTCATTGATCTGGTAATGCCCTAAGAAGGAAGAGGGGCAGGGGAGAACAACAGGATGTCCTCTGTTAAATAAAAGGTAGGGTTATAGGCCGGGGTATTGTGACCCTAACAACCAAAGGAGAATAGCTGGCTGCCCAGGCCAATGTTATTAAAAAAAAAAACACCCCCTGCTCCAGTGAGAAAGGACAGTTAGAAAAAAGCAAAGGAAGATAGGATGTCCAAGCTGGGAGGGGCCTCAGAACATGGAATGTCAGGGCTGGGAGGGGCCTCAGAACTTGGGATGTCAGGGCT